CTTGGGTTTGTATCCAGGAGCACTCACCCATTATTCTACATACCATTTAGATTTGTGAGCTATTGTGCTGATTGGTGACATTGGCAGAGATGACCTGCAATGTGATCCTTTGGAGTTAAACAAAATATATATATAAATAAACAACCATAGCTGCAAGAATTCAAATGAAGGTTGCTGTTCTCGTTGTTTTTTAAAGAGCAGAGGAATCGCAGGGTGAAGAGGAGAAATACACGTGCCTCTCTCTCCTCAGAGTCCCCCAATCTCTCTCGTTGCCATTCCCAAGGGCCTGAAGGACGTTGTGAAGGCCTCTCGCTTGGAAAGGAGCCACCAACCTCCTGGATGGCCACCAGCCAGGCACGGGCTGTTGTTTCTTTCTGCCAGGGAAGCCATCTCGCGGTTGTGTGTCCAGAAGCCACCCTTTCTGTTCTGGATCCACTTCCTTGGTAGAGATGAGAAGCCCCAAATGCACCAGTCTCCTCTCCTGGGCACCAAGCAGCTTCCCCTAAGGATGGCCGCTGGCAGATCCGTGCCCAGAGTCCTTTCCATCTCTCTCCCAAAGGCAAAAAGGGCAGCTCCTCCGAGAGGCTCTGCTAAAATATTTAACATCCACAAGCTGCTCAGCTGCCTGAATTTCTATTTCTGTCTGTCAAGCAAAACTAGGTCATTTAGTTCTTGCCATCTCAATCAGGCAACTGCAGAGATTTAGGTTTCACGGCTGGGAGAGCGATGCCTGAAAATCAGGGATCGAGCTGCGCAATTCCTACAGCAGAAGCATCCTGCCTGATGGAAAAGAGGGTGCCTGGATCAAGGGCATGGTTAGCGTACATCCTAGCACAGGCATGGGCAAGCTTCGGCCTTCCAGGTGTTTTGGACTACAACTCCCACAATTCCTAACCAGCCTACACTATAGATCAGGCATGAACAAACTTTATCCCTCCAAGTGTTTTGGACTACAACTCCTACAATTCCTAACCAGCCTACACTGTAGATCAGGCATGGGCAAACTTAGGCCCTCCAGATGTTTTGGACTCCAACTCTCACAATTCCTAACCAGCCTATACTGTAGATTAGGCATGGACAAACTTTGGCCCTCCAGGTGTTGGAGTCCAAAACACCTGGAGGGCCAAACTTTGCCCATGCCCACAATTCCTAACCAGGCTATACTGTAGATTAGGCATGGGCAAACTTCGGCCCTCCTGGTGTTTTGGACTCCATCTCCCACAATTCCTAACAGCCTACATTGTAGATTAGGCATGGGCAAACTTCAGCCCTCCAGGTATTTTGGACTTCAACTCCCACAATTCCTAACCAACCTATACTATAGATTAGGCATGAGCAAACTTCAGCCCTCCAGGTGTTTTGGACTTCAACTCCCACAATTCCTAACCAGCCTACACTGTAGATTAGGCATGGGCAAACTTCGGCCCTCCAGGTGTTTTGGACTACAACTCCCACAATTAGTAACCAGCTTACACTATAGATTAGGCAAACTTTATCCATCCAGGTGTTTTGGACTACAACTCCTACAAATCCTAACCAGCCTACACTGTAGATCAGGCATGAGTCCAGATGTTTTGGACTCCAACTCCCACAATTCCAAACCAGCCTACACTGTAGATCAGGCATGGGCAAACTTCGGCCCTCCAGGTTTTTTGGATTGCAATTCCCATAGTTCCTAACAGCCTACACTGTAGATCAGGCATGGGCAAACTTCGGCCTTCCAGGTATTTTGGACTACAACTCCCACAATTCCTAACCAGCCTATACTGTAGATTAGGCATGGGCAAACTTCAGCTCTCCAGGTGTTTTGGACTACAATTCCCATCGTTCCTAACAGCCTACACTGTAGATCAGGCATGAGCAAACTTCGGCCCTCCGGGTGTTTTGGACTTCAACTCCCACAATTCCTAACCAGCTTACCGGCTGTTAGGAATTGTGGGAGTTGAAGTTCAAAACACCCTGGAGGGTCAAAGTTTGCCCATGCCTGTCCTAGCAAGTTCCCTGTTTTGTTCTCTAGGGAACACAGAAGACCATGGTTTCTAATCTTTCTGTCAATTTGGGCAATGGATCTGAATCCTCAGCCAGCAGGAAAGCTGCAGCGTCAGGTTTTGCCCTGATGTCAAAGCTTCTAGATCACATTTGTTTTGATTTTGTTTTGATTTTTTTTCTGGCAAGGAAGATACCCAGAATTGGCTTCCATTTCAATATATGTATGTATTTATTCATTGAGTTTTGTTCACCAATACAGTGAAAAATGGCATTAAAATTTACAATGGGTTCATTCTTAGAATGTCATGACAATAATTTCCTTTTTTTTTCTCCTTATGTTTTGTATTATTATTATTATTTTTTTTGCTTGTCTTCATAAAATTTCATTGTATATTACTATTATTATTGAAAAGATAATGGTTTATCTCATGCACAACAGACAAGAATAAGCCTCTTTTTTAAAAAATAAAAATAAATTAAATAATAAGTACAAAATTAAAAACAACTCTGAACATCGCCTCCGTAATCCGGAGGCATCAAATAACCAGCGAGTTATCTGAACACATTCATAAACAGTGCAATAGGTATTTTTTTTGTTTGTTTCTAAATTCATCATGTTCCGACAAAGTCCATCGACAAAGCCATTGATCACAGTATAAGACTTTTTTTTTTGTTAAAATACATGTCTTGTTAACAATGATGTGTGCAAAACCTGAAACACATTCAAGAAGTCCTGTCCAATACTGATATAGAATTAAAAGAGCCCACTATGTCAACGTGATCTGCCTTCCTTTGGGAAATCCATCTGGTGAAAAAATAACCGTTCTCTGCCTTTCTCCTTTATGGGGCGGGGGGAGGAAAAAAATAAAAAGAGAGAACACAAACAATCTTTTGATGCAACGTTTTGACAGTAGACATTAGCAGATTGTTGCTTAACAAAGATTCAGATATAAAAATACAAATATGAGGAGTTTCTGTTTAAAAAGAAGCGTGCCATAGTGGGATGACTAGTGGCACCAAGACGTGGCACCAAGACCAGGAAGCTCATGCAAAAAAGATGGAGCAAAAATGTCTCTTGACAGCAAAAAACCAATCACTGTCTCTGAATGTTATATAGTCCATCCGCGGTCAGGACCTCTCCGTCTTCCACTCAGCACTGCTGGCGTTGGGTTTGCTTCCAAAACTGCTGGTATTTTGCAAACGGATTGGGTTTTCGGGTGGGCCGAGGGACAGGACGGGACAGGATGGGAGCCGTGTGTCTTGGGCTGCTGGAAAGACATAAGTGATGACTGCAAACACAATGAGAGCGCTATACTCAGAGAAGCGTATAAGTGGCGGGTCTGGGGGTGTCTGTATATAAGGGGATGCGCCTACCTATGCAAGTGTCATAGGGGGGAAAAGGTGTAAAGTGCATCGCTACAGGAGACCCCCTCCCCCTTCTAAGCAGAGAGCATCGGGAGAGCTCTGAAAAGGGGTTCAGCACCTTTGTCATCGTGGCATGATGGGGGTCGCCCGAGGAAAAGAAGGGGTCTGCGGTGGTGGTGTTGCTACGACAGGCCGAGAAAAGGACTTGCAGTTTACGGGATGGAAACAAGCAGCGTTATCAGCTCAAGGGGGGGGGGGAGGGGGAAGGAAGGAAGGGGCCTGCTTGGGGATGGCCCCGCAGCGGGACGCACTTAAAGGGACAGTGCGAAATGGAGAGCCCCCAAGGCGGGAGAGCACCCGCCATATGATCCCGGGGTGGGTCATGGAACAGGGGACGGGCCTCGTCAAAATGCAGGGCCGAGTTGGGTGTCAAAGTCTCTGGGCGTCCCTGGGCGGCTGGCCGTCCTTTCGGAGGTGGAGATGGTGCGTTGTCCCCCCATTTGTCAAGTGATCCCTGGCCGGGTTTGGGGGTCAGCGGCGTTGGGGGTGGAGGGTGTTGCCAGCAGCCTCATCTCTCTCTCTCTCTCTTCCTTTCTCTTTCTCTCTTTCTCTTTCTCTGCTTCCGTTGGCTTTCCTTGTGGTCCACAGTCCCAACAAACATGCGCAGCCAAAAGTGCTAAAAATTTCAGGGATTTTTTTCCGCCTGCAGGTCTGGCTCTGCGGGCGCCTTCGGCTCTTCCCCGGATTTATACCCCGGAGGGCGACTTGTCCGTCATTCCCTTCAAGACCTCGTCTATTCTATCGTCTTCGATCACCACTGTTGGAAAGGGGGGGGGGGGGAGAAAAAGGGGGGGGGGAAGGGCAAAGACAAAGCACAGCGTCAGAAACAAGAGAGGCGAGGGAGATGCGCATCGTGGCGCACAGGCTGGGGTCGGGGGCGCACGGCTTGGCCCCCTTCTCCCGCCCTTTGGGGATTGTCCTCCCCCCTTTTGGGATGCCCAAGGGGGGGCTTGGATCCCCCTCCTCCCTCCCTAGCCCTCCCCCCTCCCTTTTCAACATCTGTCCAACCAAATCAGAGGGAGGAAAATGGCTCCCCGCGTCCCTTTCCAGATGGTTCCTGCGCGCTTCGGAGGGGATTAAAAAGGGAGCGCAGCCGGGCCAAAAGAGAGCCCGGGAGGGGGGCAAGGGGGCCGGGAGGGGCTCACACGGCCCGGGTTCGAGTCCTGCGCCAAAGGGGAGCCATCCCAGCCCCGGAAATGGCGAGGAAGGGAAAGGGTTGGTCGTAAAAGCAGAAGAGGCGCAGAGAGGAGGAAGCGAGGGACCCATTCGCCCTCTCCATCCCTGCAAACCTTTTTGTCTCGCTCTTTCTGCGGCAAGATCCTTGCCATTTCAACGCAACCCCCCCCCCCCCAAACACACACACACACACACAAACACACACACGTGAAGCAATGCGGACACGAACCCACCCGAGGCGAACCCGGTTTACTCCAAACACTGCTTTGTCTTTCCCTTTGGCAAGCCAAACACTGCCAAGGAAGAAAGACAAAGATCTTGGGGATGGATGGATGAATAGATGGAGAGGAAAGGGTTGATGCCGCTTTATGAAAGGATGATGCCGTTTTATGATGCCCCCCTAAGCCCCAAACCCAGTCCACCCGAGGCGACCCCGGTTTACTCCAAACACTGGCTTGTCCTTCCCTTTTGGAAGCCAAACACTGCCAAGGAAGAAACACAAAGAAGAAACACAAAGAAACACAAAGGGGATGGATGGATGGAGAGGAAAGGGATGATGCCGCTTTGTGAAAGGATGATGCCGCTTTATTATGCCCCAAACCCAGTCTACCCGAGGCGAACCCGGTTTACTCCAAAGACTGGCTTGTTTTCCTCTTTGGCAAGCCAAACACTGCCAAGGAAGAGAGACAAAGATCTAGAGATGGATGGATGGAGAGGAAAGGGATGGTGCCGCGTTATGAAGGGATGATACTGCATGGATGGATGGATGGATGGATGGAGAAGAAAGGGGTGATGCTGCTTTATGAAGGGATGATGCCGCTTTATGATGCCCCTTCGAAGCCCCCAAACCAGTCCTCCCGAGGCGAACCCGGTTTACTCCAAAGACTGGCTCGTTTTTCCCTTTGGCAAGCCAAACACTGCCAAGGAAGAGAGGCAAAGATCTATAGATGGATGGATAGAGAGGAAAGGGATGATGCCGCTTCATGGAAGGATGATGCCTCTTTATGAAGGGATGATGCCGCTTTATGAAGCCTCAAACCCAGACCACCCGAGGCGAACCCGGTTTACTCTAAAGACTGGGTCGTTTTCCCCTTTTGCAAGCCTAGGAAGAGAGACAAAGACCTAGAGATGGATGGATGGAAAGGGATGCTGCCGCTTCATGGAAGGATGCTGCCTCTTTTTGGAGGGATGATGCCCTTTGTGATGCCCCTTTCGAAGCCCCCCACCCCACTTTCAATGTTACCCACACCACCTCCAAGCCTCCCAATCACGAAATAGCTCTGAACCGAAACGACCCCGGTTTATTTATTTCCAGAGCAGGACTGAGAGAAGGACGCGTTGGTTGCTAAAACATCCAAGATCCAAGGATGGAGACTGAAGGGCTGTTATTTGAAGGGAGGTGTGTTGATGCCCCTTCAAAAGCCCCCCGAATTGAACCCACCCCCGAATCCCAAGGAATGAAATGGTGCGGTGATTGACATTCAAGATCCAGAGATGGATGGATGGATGGAGAGGGTCTACCCAAAGGAACAGGACTGAGAGAAGGACGCGTTGGTTGCCAAAACATCCAAGATCCAAGGATGGAGACCGAAGGGATGTTATTAGAGGGGAGGTGGGTTGATGCCCCTTCAAAAGCCCCCCGAATTGAACCCACTCCCCGAATCCCAAGGAATGAAATGGTGCGGTGATTGACATTCAAGATCCAGAGATGGATGGATGGATGGATGGATGGATGGATGGATGGAGAGGGTCTACCCAAAGGGAGCCCTCCTTCTCCCCCCAAAAGCCTCCCCTTGCTCACCTCTCTTGGCCCTCCCGATCTGTCCCAGTTTGGGGTTGATGCCCCTTCAAAAGCCCCCCGAATTGAACCCACTCCCCGAATCCCAAGGAATGAAATGGTGCGGTGATTGACATTCAAGATCCAGAGATGGATGGATGGATGGAGAGGGTCTACCCAAAGGAACAGGACTGAGAGAAGGACGTGTTGGTTGCCAAAACATCCAAGATCCACGGAAGGGATGTTATTAGAGGGGAGGTGGGTTGATGCCCCTTCAAAAGCCCCCCGAACTGAACCCACCCCCGAATCCCAAGGAATGAAATGGTGCGGTGATTGACATTCAAGATCCCAGAGATGGATGGATGGATGGATGGATGGATGGATGGATGGAGAGGGTCTACCCAAAGGGAGCCATCCTTCTCCCCCCAAAAGCCTCCCCTTGCTCACCTCTCTTGACCCTCCCGATCTGTCCCAGTTTGGGGTTGATGCCCCTTCAAAAGCCCCTCGAATTGAACCCACTCCCCGAATCCCAAGGAATGAAATGGTGCGGTGATTGACATTTAAGATCCAGAGATGGATGAATGGATGGATGGAGACGCCGCTGCCCAAAGGGAGCCCTCCTTCTCTCCCCCACCCCCAAAGCCTGCCCTTGCTCACCTCGCTTGGCCCTCCCGATCTGCCCCAGTTTGGGGGGCCGCTTGGACTGGTTCCCCCAGGAGTTGGTGTCCTGGAGGCGGCAGCTGAAGGAGAGGTCCCCCACCTCGGCGTCGGGGCCGTAGTGGGCCACTTTGTCGTCGTTGTAGGGCATGATCTCGGACATGGTGCCGGGGGGGGAGACGACGGCGGGGTGAGCCTCCTCCTCCTCGGAGGGAGAGAAAGGGGCGAGGGGGGCGGCGAAGGCGGCAGCAGGAGAGCGGGGCCCGGCCTCAGGAAGAGCAGCAGGAGGAAGAGACAGAGAGAGAGGCAGATCCGGAGAGGAGGAGGAGGAGGAGGAGGAGGAAGAGAGCGAAGGCGCAGCAGCGTCCGACAGCAGCCTCAACCCAGCGGCGTCTGAGCAGCGCGCTCGGGAGAGCCCTACATCATAAAGGAAACCCGGGCGGAAGGATGAAGTCATGCATCCGGGACTGGATGGAGGGAGGTCCTCCCCCAACCCCCCCCTCCCCATTCCCCCCCTGTCACCACAGTCTCGCGTGGAAACAGAGGGAGAGAGGCGGGCTCAGGAGCCAGGGCGAGGCAGCGATGGCAAGGAGGATGCAGCACAGAGAAGCCAGGGAAAGCCAAGGGATGGAGGCAGGAGGGTCCCTTCTCTGCATGCACATATACTCCCTCCCACACTTTGGAATGAATGCAGAGCCACACCACTTCAACTACCATGGCTATAGAATCCGGTCTTGAGCAGGCATGGGCAAACTTTGGCCTTCCAAGTGTTTTGGACTCCAGCTCCCACAATTCCTAACAGCCTCAGGCCCTTTCCTTTCCCCCTCAGCCTCTTAAGTGTTTTGGACTCCAACTCCCATAATTCCTAACAGCCTCAGGCCTTTTCCTTCCCCCCCTCAGCCTCTTAAGTGTTTTGGACTCCAACTCCCATAATTCCTAACAGCCTCAGGCCTTTTCCTTCCCCCCCCTCAGCCTCTTATGCATTTTGGACTCCAACTCCCACAATTCCTAACAGCCTCAGGCCCTTTCCTTTACCCCTCAGCTTCTTAAGTGTTTTGGACTCCAACTCCCACAATTCCTAACAGCCTCAGGCCCTTTCCTTTCCCCCCTCAGTTTCTTAAGTGTTTTGGACTCCAAATCCCACAATTCCTAACAGCCTCAGACCCTTTCCTTTTCCCCTTCAGCCACTTAGGCGTGTATGTAATGTAATATAATATAATATATTGTATGTACATATAATATTTATAATATTATAATTTAATCTATATAAATAAAAATGTAATGTTCATTTGTGGGATTAACAGAACTCAAAAACCACTAGGCGAATTGACACCAAATTTGGACACAAGACACCTAACAGCCCAACGAGTGTCCATCACCCCTAAACACACACACACACACACACAAAACCCCAGCAGAACAGACTTAAAAACCCCAAAATACACCATATATACATATGCAAATACACTCATATACATATACACATGCACACATTCATGCACACACATGTATATATGCACAAAACACACAAATATACATACACACACATATATACACAAACACATATATACACAAATATATATGCCTGTATAAACACACATATACACACACAAACCACATATACACAGACTGGGCCACAGCAATGCGTGGCAGGGGACGGCTAGTGGATAGGTGCATCCTATGAAATCCTTGGCATTGTAGCTTAATAAGGTATGAATCTTCTCAGGGGGGAATTCTAAATGCTCTCCTTCAACTTCAGCTCCCAGGATTTCATAAGGATAGGTCCATTGCATTTAAAGTGGAATCCCAGGGCTAGTATTGTTGTGCGACTCAGTGTCTATAAGATCAAGGGCAGATAAATCCAAGCTTTATTGGTATGCTGGATGTATTGGTTTTATTATCTCCCCTTCCATTTAATGAGCTGAAGACAGTGTACATTGCTTTCTTCCTGCTCACCTTCCCCATACAACAATGCTGTGAGATATGGGTTCACCCAGGAGATTGCCTGGGACCTTCGAAAATGGTTGAGGTAGTGAGCATCTACACCAGTGTCTCTCAACCTGGGGGTTGGGGGCGTGGGGAGGGTGTAAGAGGGGTCACCAAAGACCATCAGAAAACACAGTATTTTCTATTCATCATGGGGGTTCTGTGTGGGAAGTTTGGCCGAATTCTCTCATTGGTGGGGTTCAGAATGCTCTTTGATTATAGGTGAACTATAAATTCCAGTAACTACAACTCCCAAATGTCAAGTCTGTTTTCCCCAAACTCCACCAGTGTTCACATTTGGGCATATTGAGTATTTGTGCCAAGTTTGGTCCAGATCCATTGTTTGAGTCCACAGTGCTCTCTGGATGTAGGTGAACTACAACTCCAAAACTCAAGGTCAATGCCTACCAAACCCAGTATTTTCTTTTCGTCATGGCAGTTCTGTGTGCCAAATTTGGTTCAATTCCATTGTTGGTGGAGTTCGAAATGCTCTTTGATTGTAGGATAAATCTCAGCAACTAAAACTCCCAAATGTAATTTTGTAGCAGCAAAATTACAGTTATGTAGTAGCAATGACAATAATTTTATGTTTGGGGAATCATCACAACATGAGGAAGTGTATTAAGGGATTGTGGCATTAGGAAGGTGGAGAACCAGTGACCTAGAGCAAATCTGGCTTGAATTCTCAGTAGATGTCAAAACAGCCAAGCATCATTGTCTTTTCTAGTGTCATGTCTTCTCATGATGTGGTGAAAGAATGACAGATTCAGTGTAGTGATCTTGACTTCTAAGGAGGGTATTGCATTTGGACACATGAGTTGACATGAATCACTGCAGAAATAACAACAACAACAATAATAATGGTGATTTTTGGATCCCCATAGAAGCCAAGTTGACTTAACTGAGACCACCCTAGTTTGGCTGTATCATGAGAGAGAGACTGCTCACTAGAAAAGATAATGATGCTTGCTACAGTAGAAGGCAATAGGAACAGAGATGGTGCCTTACAAGTGGATTGATTCAATCAGGAAGGCCATAGTTCTGAATTTTCAAGTCATCACAGTTGATTTTATTTCTCGCGTCAGGGTGGCCAGTCAGTTATATTACATTTCTAACAGAATAAAGCAAACAAACAGAGAAAATACAAAATGTGTGAGTTTGGTAGTTGATTAAATGTCCTTTGACCAGTATCTGGCCACTTGGAGTGCCTCTGGTGTTGCCGCAAGGAGGTCCTCCATTATGCATGTGGCAGGGCTCAGATTGCATTGCAGCAGGTGGTCAGTGGTTTGCTCTTCTCCACACTCACATGTTGTGGATTCCACTTTGTGGCCCCATTTCTGAAGGTTGGCTCTGCATCTTGGGGTGCCAGTTGATGACTTAGAGATCTCACATTCATAGAGACATAAACAGTAAATAGAATAACAGAGTTAGAAGGGACCCCAAAGGCCACCTAGTCTGACCCTTTGCTATGCAGGAATACAGAACTAAAGTCCTTCTTTAAGACGTCAATCCAACAACTGTTTAAATACCTCCTTCGAAGTTATCCTGGTATTGATGTCAGGCTGACTGGGTGGTAATTCTTCCCTCCCCCCCTTTTTGAAGATAGGGACAACATTTGCCCTCTTTCAGTCATAGCATCATAGAGTTGGAAGAGACCTCATGGGGCCATCCAGTCCAACCCCCTGCCAAGAAGCAGGAAAATTGCATTCAAAGCATCCCCAACAGATGGCCATCCAGCCTCTGCTTAAAAGCCTCCAAAGAAGGAGCCTCCACTACTGCAGAGACTTCTTTTGTTCTTCAAGACTTCTCAAAGATGATTACAAGTTGTTCTGAAATTAGTTCTGCCAGTTCATTTAGTACCCTTAGATCAGTGGTTCTCAACCTTCCTAATGCCATGACCCCTTAATACAGTCCCTCATGTTGTGGTGACCCCCAACCATAACATTGTTTTTGTTTCTACTTCATAACAGTCATTTTACTACTGTTATAAATCATAATGTAAATATCAGATATGCAAGATGTATTTTTTATTTATTTATTTTATTACTGTGCTTGTATACCGCCGTTTCTCAGCCTAAATTGGCGACTCAACGCGGTTTACAACAGTACAACAACAACAATATTCAGTTTAAAAAAGCATAAAAACACATACATAATATACAATATTGGGCCACCAATATCGAACCAATGCATCTCTTAGTTAAAAACGCAGTCCAATTTCATCGTCTGTGATTACCAGTCCTTGATCGTCAGATTCGTTGCACCGTGTTAACCGAATGCTTGTTCGAACATCCATGTCTTCAGTCTTTTTCGAAACGCCACCAGCGAGGGGGCTGATCTTACCTCTATGGGGAGGGCGTTCCAAAGCCGAGGGGCTACCACAGAAAAGGCCCTGTCTCTCGTCCCCGCCAGCCGCACCTGTGAAGCAGGCAGGATAGAGAGCAGGGCCTCCCCAGAAGATCTTAGGGTCCTGGTGGGCTGATAGGCCGAGATACGTTCGGATAGATAAGTTGGGCCAGAACCGTTTAGGGCTTTAAAGGCCAGCGCCAGCACTTTGAATTGGGCCCGGTAGCAAATCGGCAGCCAATGGAGCTGGTACAGCAGAGGAGTTGTATGCTCCCTGCGCCCTGCTCCTGTTAGTAACATGGCTGCCGCCCGTTGGACTAATTGGAGCTTCCGAGCCGTCTTCAAAGGCAACCCCACGTAGAGAGCGTTGCAGTAGTCAAGACGGGATGTAACCAGAGCGTGGACTACCGTGGCCAAGTCAGACTTCCCAAGGTACGGCGCAGTTGGCGCACAAGTTTTAACTGTGCGAATGCTCCCCTGGTCACCGCCGAAACCTGGGGTTCCAGGCTCAGCGATGAGTCCAGGATCACACCCAAACTGCGAACCTGCGTCTTCAGGGGGAGTGCGACCCCGTCTAACACAGGCTGTAGCCCTATACCCTGTTCGGCCTTGCGACTAACCAGGAGTACCTCTGTCTTGTCTGGATTCAATTTTTCATTCACTGGACCAAACTGGGCACAAATACCCAATGCAACCACATGTAAATGCTAGTGGGGTTGGGGGAGGATTGATTTGTAATTTGGGAGTTGTAGTTGCTGGGATTTATAGTTCACCTATAATCAAAGAGCATTCTGAACTCCACCAGCGATGGATTTGAACCTAATTTGCCACACAGAACTCCCATGACCAACGGAAAACACTGGAAGGGTTTGGTGGGTATTGACCTTGAGTTTGGGAGTTGTAGTTCACCTATATCCAAAGAGCACTGTGGACTCACGCAATGGTGGATCTGGACCAAACTTGGCACAAATACTCAATATGCGCAAATGTGAACACTGGTGGAGCCTGGGGAAAATAGACCTTGACTTTTGGGAGTTGTAGTTGCTGGGATTTATAGTTCATTACAATCAAAGAACATTCTGAACTCCACCAACGATAGAATTGGCTCAAACTTCCCACATGGA